ATGGATGGATGGATTCTGTGATACACTTTTATTTCCACCCAGTATCTCGTTTCACCAGCAGGCTGTGCTCTACACAACAAAATATCTGCTGCAGAAGCCAACTGAAGGTGTTGCTCCACTTCTGTTCCTACAAACCAAAGCTAAACAGAAAAAAAAATAATGAAATGTGCATGGTGGTAGAATGCCTAAGACGTCCGTCAGTGTGTATTTGCAGCAGGTGAACTCGCTGCTCTAAGGTGAACTGGTGCATTCCTGCCTGAAAGCACCTGAAACTGGATACAGCAACCAAAGACGTGCAAAGTTTCCCGTCCAAGTGTGCAATCCCGGAGCCGGGTACAGTTCCTTCCGAAAAGGCAACACAGTGGCAAACAGTTTCTTCGCTGTTGCGGCGCAGGAATGCGAAGGCTCTTAATCATAATCCTTGGAATTTGCGAAGGGACAAAGCTGATTGTGTGACCCACTGTTTGGCAGCCTGAACCACCCCCCCACAATCACTGGACTAATATGACACAAGTTCATACCCATAACCGACGTTCTACCTTCGAGAAGTTACCCAACTTGTTATCAGCTGAGGCGTAAAATGCAAGTTTGTGTTCCTTTTTTCAGCAACTTGCTTTCACTCCATCTAAGCACCTGATATTTTTCTACCTTGAGGGGGAAAAAAAAAAAAAGGGATTGGTTTGAAGTTACTAATCTGCGCCCCCACCACCACCACCACCACCAAAAAAACCCCAACCCCATCGGCCTCCCCCTGTTCTCTTGTTGCTGTCCCCCTCCTGGGCCGGCTGGCATGTGTGCGGAATAAAAATGTGTGAGGCCTTTTGTCCGGCTGGTTCCAAGTAACAGCTCTGCCTTCAGACGGGAGAATAGGAGGTCGAGAGAAGACACACATGGCTGCTTAAAGAGGAGCAGGAGAAGAGATAGAAGAAGAAGAGGAGAGGGAAGGCCCCGATCCTCTCGCCTCTGGAGATGCATTAGGTATTTTATCAGACGTCCTCAGTGGTTGATTTGGAACAAGGGCTTCTGTTCTTCTAGTTGTAACTAAATGTAACACATTTCCAGCTTTTCTAAAAGGTCAGAGCTCTCCGGTCAGGACTGAGTTTGAGTCCTTTGGGTGGGAGTATTAACAAGTCTGACAAGTCCCGAGGAGGATTATTGGAGGTGAAAAAAACGAACTAACTTTTTGTCCGAGTTGACAGCAGAAGCCAGTTTTCTCTCCGACATGGACGGAGCCGGCAGCACCTGAAGTTCAGCGAGCGGAGGAGAGGAAGCCTGTGGAGTTCACACGAGGTATCATATGGTTTCCTTCACTTCTCAGATAAACACATCTGAACTGAAAGGGGTTGCAGAATTATTTCAATATCCTTGGACTCCTAATGAGTGCAAAAGTCTTTCTAGTTGCTAAAGATGAAAGTGTTTATCTCTCTTTTTTAATGCTCACAGCTGATTACTGAGAATCTGAAACGGTCCAATCCTGTCAGCTCTGGTACATAACTATTGAGTAGATCTCTGACTAATGAAAGTGATTAACC